CTCCCCCCCCCCCAGTCGTTCACTCTCCTTTCACAACATTTCTGCATGATGCAGCAAAAATAAAAAATAAAACAGGGTCTACTGTATGTGTCTCTGCTGCGAGGCTCTGTGATTGCGGCGGTTAGCGGTTAGCGGTTAGCGCAGGTGGACGAGGGTGGTTTAAAATATTAGGAGTGTGATGAGAAAATCACTTCAGCCTCTGCAGGTTATCCTGACCAATCAGACTCCATTACACGCACGGTAAATCTACAGACGCTCTGCAGCTGCAGCACAGAGTATCTGAGGGTGACTGTACTACTGTGTACTCTACTACTAGTACTACTGTAATACTGCAGTTAAAAACAGTGACTGATTACATCAGCAAAAATGAAAGTCTTGTGTCTGTGTTTAAAACAGTCATTAACGTTTTGACCTTGAAGCCCAGTTTTTATGGTACAAAGTGGGCCGCGACCCATTAAATATTACCGCTATACCGCAGTTTTATTGGACAGGACTCACAGTTGGGTTTGTGTTCAGTGATAACCAAAACCGAATCCTCTTACTTAGCTATACTTCCATATAAAAAGTCGGGATTGTAGCTACGCGGAAAAAAAAAAAAAATTTCTTTAGAGGGTTTTGCACGATGTTCGTCGTCAACTTCTTCATATTTTTTTGCTACAGCTAATATAGAAAAGAAATCTCTCTTCTTCTTTGTCTATTGGAGCTTCTCAAAGAACTGACTGATGTATTGCTGCCACCACATGGTCGAACGCTGTACTGTAACCGAGCTTCTGGTGGGTAACATATCTCAGTCAAAAACCCATGCAGACCCTGGTGCAAAAACTGAAAGTTTTTTTTTTTTTTTTACGGCTCTCTATATGGGGCTGGCGGCCCAAATTTGGGCTGCGGCCCTCTGGTTAAGAATCCCTGTTCTGAGGTTTCTTAACACTCCTTCCTTATAAACTGTTAAAGTGTAATTCAAAAATCTATTTTTTATGAACTTCCTGGAGTACGTTTGATGCCCCACCTCAGGGGTCATGGACCTGTGGTTGAAAACCTCTGGTTTGATGGGTGTCAATACGTGCAGATGTCCTGGAGTATAGGTAAAAAAAAAAAAAAAAAAATCACTTCATCGAAGTCAGCAGTAGTTTTTTTTTTATTTATTTTTTTTACTTCCAATTAATTTCATACTACATTAAATCTTTTACCCTCTGTGATGGAAGAACCCCTCCCCACTCTCTCTCTCACCCCTCTCTCACCCTCCCTCTCTCTCTCACCCTCCAGTGCTTTCTGAGACCTGTCCCAGACTTGACAGCCCAGTTGACACTGTAAATGAACGCTCACCTTTGTGAATTCTTTTCTTCTGCCTCACGTCTCTCGTCTGCAGCTGTAATGAAAAACGAGGCGTTCAGGGTCCTGCTGGAAAAGTCGCTTCTTGTTTCCTGTCGTGGGCGTCATCATACGTCGTCACCAGGACAAAAGATGGAAAAACATTTAGGCTGCCCCCTGCTGTAGAGGCTACACC